CTATAGCCAATTACATACCTTTGGAATAAACTGTTTGTTCTCACATCTTACACCTACTGCCAGTCGATCAATGAAACAACCAATAATATCTTGTAATAATACATAATTAAATATAACCCCTTTTGAAGTCGTGAATGTGCAGTACTGTAACTCGAGTTGAATCAAAACATACAAGGCATCATAATCATATTCAGTGTACTGTCCTATATTATCGTTGTTGTCTAAGTTATATTAATAAATAGAGGACAATTCCTATATAACTGCGTAATTGTAATATGGCCTTTTTCTGTAAACATTTATGCATATAGGTACAAGCATTGTATGTTACAATTTGTTAACATTAAAAAGCATTATATTTATGTACAAGTAATGAGTATGTATATCTAGTTATTGGTATGGTACCTACATACGGTTGACTTTTGATATGCATTTATTAAATAATTTATTTTATTAATAACGTTGTTTTTGATCGCATTTCTGAGAATATGCTCGTAAAAGTCCCTTTTAAGTACGTATAAATACTGAATAGAACTTTCACTGATGAATGTTTTATAAATTATCTTCCATATTGCATTATAAATCAACTTTATCATTATTGACAACTGTGTCTGGAAATAGAGATAAAAAGATAGAGGCAGACGTATTGAAGCATCCATTTATAATTTCAATAGAATTTAATGTTTTTCTTCTATATATTCAAATGTTGGTTATGTTCTGCCTTTACGGTTATCACCACATAGTATAAAACAAAATCGCTATCCGCCATTTGTCTGTCCCTATGTATGCTTAGATCTTTGAAACTACGAAACGGATTTTGATGCGGTTTTTTTTTATATATAGAGTGATTCTTAAAGAAGGTTTATATGTATAATACATGCATATTGCACCCGTTCGAGGCTGGGGCGGGTCGCTAGTTAGGTACAAATTTTTAATTACATTTGAGTCAGATTGAGATGTCACCCATATTTTAAACGTTTTACTGTGTATCATAAAATAAAGATTTTTAGAGTACCATGGATCGATGTGTCTGGTCAATAATACTGACTGACTTCAATCATCCCACACAATACTTCAATTCTAGAGTCACATGTTATCAAAGTGACAGACAGATTTATCGATAATATTTTATCGAACATACAGACGACACGTTTTTATGAATAAAGGGATTACTATCTAGACATTCGTATCTCTATCATGAGTTGTATGTCGATAATTTGAAGACATATGTTCTAACTGTAATAACTATTACACGTGTCGATAAACTCAATGTTTTAATGTAACATTTGACCTCTTTGCCACCAAATATCATAATAAACATGACAAATAATCTCGCGCCCACTAATTTTGATGGTTACCGAGAATCGCGCGTTCATAAAAAGTCGTATCTCTTTGATATTTATTGGTATTCATGCAATATATGTTATCAAAAATAAGCTATCTCGTCTTTACGTGAATGACGTCAAAGTTCCCTACAGGATGATTATCACTGGGCCGGGACTTCGAATATTTTTGTAAAGATTGGGAAAGCCGTTGAGTTACATAAATCGAATTCGACTTCAGACAAGTTTAGTGGATAAGTGGGGTAAGAACAAGCGTATTATGTGTCATATTACGTTACATACGATCTCTGTGGACATAAAAACGATTTTTTTAGTAGACAAATTACATCATATCTTGTAGAAATGGTATTAGTACAAAAAGTTAAACATATTTTATAGCTTCAGCCTTACTTTCGACGTCTAGTTATTACAATTGCGGCTATAAAGACACGGATTTTGGCCATGAATATTGTAGTACTACATGATACCAAATACGAAATTGTTCCCATAATATAAAACAGTAGGTAACATCAACTAGATCAATAATCAGTAGCTACTTATACCTATCAAAACATGACTGCCATTAGTATGAAAACATGAGTTGCAAAAATTATTCATACCTATCTCAAGTGACCATGTACAACGTAGTAATCAAATGTATGAAGCGCTTCACTGAAATACGATCAACCCGAAGCCGAAATCATATCAAGGGTAATCTTATCAAGAAATCACTTCACCGACAAGGTGTGATATCATCGATCGAAAATGAATATAGACATATTATTTATCTGCTCCATTTACCTCTATTTATTCCCATAAGATACATTTTTCCTTAAAAGTTTTCGAGTTATGTGTGAAGTCTGTACCGTTGACTCGTAAGGTCGTGCCTGGATAGGCACCCTTATGGGATCTTTATAGCGCCACCAACTGCGAAGAAGGGTGCGAAGGGCATCGCACAGTTTTGCGAAAAGTTTAACTTTGTAGCTTTATTACTTCTTGTTCTAACTATGTAATCTTCACGCTCTGCATCAAATTGTTGGCCCGTTCACATCAATACTACAAAATAATATTTCTATAGATGTAACCTTGTTAAAACTATTTTGGAATTTGTCAGAGCACGCTAACTTACGTGTTGGTTTGCCTTTATATATTTCTAGATACAATTTGATTTATTATTTCTTTATCTGCTATTAATATGGCTGCCAAGAACACATTTTATGTATCTGTATATACTTAATTGTATATTCTCATTCAGATTCTAGACCAGTATTTAATGATGAGTTTGATTCTAGTAAGATTGATATTTCAGTAATCATAGATAAAATCTCGGCTACTACATAGCATTAATGATAAGTCAACCACTTAAACTAGTCCTTCAAATAATATAACCATAAGTACTTTAAGAAGGAGTAATCTATAATAAATGAGGGTCTAAACATGATTTATTATTAATAGCTATAACAAAATGGATGTACCGTTTGGCTTTGATAGAAATGAGCTACGATATTTGGCGCGCCATCTTCCATGTAACTGGGAAATTTAGATATTAAATCAACAAAGGTTCCTGATTACTGAAATCAACAATTTAATATTCCTATCCACTTAACGTTAATTTTCTTCTACTTTTCTACTCCTGCTTTACTTACCTTTCTTATTATAATATCAATACAATCAAGTTATAAGTATCTGCAAATAAATCATGCTGATTAGATGTAATTAAGTACATAAAGACGTTTGTTCAAGAAATTTCTCTTTTCTCTGGAAGACAATTTATTATAATTACCTATTGATAATGACTTAATATGTTTGTAGGTACTTATGTGACAAAAAGTTAATAAAGTACTGATAGTATAGTGGAGCTGTTGAATAGACGCTATCCTTACTAATATTATAAATCGGAAAGTGAGTTTGTTTGTTTGTTCCACTTTCACGCTGTAACTTCTAAACCGATTGCTTTGAATTTTTGCAGACGTGAAGTTAGATAGATGTCTGGATTAAATAATAGGGTACTTTTTATCCTAGAAAAATTTGATATTCTCGAGGAAAAACGAAATTATTGGTATAGATGGCGCTGTGTGTATTGGTATATGTCACATAGGCTACTTTTTATCCTTTTGTGACGCCAGCGAAGCCGCGGGTAAAAGCTAGTTATTAATAATTAAAGAATTTATTTGTTAATTGCTTTCTAAGATACGTAATGCATATTTAATGAATAAGTCGTTAACTATCTCTCGGTTGAGCAAAGTCCTGTTCTTATTCGAAGAAATATTAATCATTGAGCCCCATACTTTAATTTTGAGGGGGGGAGAAATCATCCAATGGCTTCTACCGCTCGGGTGAGGCGAGAGGTAGTGTCAGACTCTTACTGACTAGAAACCACCCCGTTCCTACTCCTGCAATTCAAGCCGAAGCTCTGGCAACCTGTTAAGTCCTCCGCGGCTCCGTATCGGCATCAGACCTATTGGGTCCCATCAGTGGTAGTCTGATGGCTCTTTAAGGCCCGCGCAGAACGCGAGCCGTATTGAGCCCCGTACTTGCTCTATAGTCTCTAAACATAATAACTGAGACTAAATTTTGGCTTAACAACTCCTAAAATTCTTAATAAAGCTATGCAAAATAAAACTATATTTTAAAATCAAAACAAAAAAAAACAAATGGTAAGAAAAACACCAACCCTTAAAAAACGGTCTTTAAGTCCGTCCACACATCACACACATCTTACTCAAAGAAACACATTATAACGAAAACTCGTAGATTCCATCAATTCTGAGAACCGAAATACTATCTTGAATCGTACTCAGTGATAAATAGTTCTTTTTCAAAGTAAATCCTCGGTGGCGCCAGACAGACCCTTTCGATCGTGAACTTTGAAAGAATGACGTCACACAAAATGGATGCCAACAGAATATGAAATCCCAAAATACTTGTCATCATAAAGTACCAGTTACGGTTATTCGAAAAGAGGTTTCAATACTTGAGTTACGTAACATAACATATTATTTATTTTATCTGATTCTTGTTTTGGTCTTATTGTTGCAAAAATCACAATGTTTGTCTGAATTTATGTTATTACCGATGATGTTATGAAATATCACACCTGTTTGCTTAAAAGAGTAAACAAATGTGTAAAAATATGCTAACTAATCGTAAAACCAATCTTTAGGTATTATCATATGCCATAAGGAATCTAACTTTCTATTTATTATACGAGTACTTTACCATTCTAAAATTCACTTTCTTTTGTTTCAGATAAAATATCGGAAAGTAAAGAAAATGTTTTGCGTGCACTGGAATACATCGATATTTGACACAGAGGTCTTAAATCGCAGATAGACACAAGAACCATGGTCTATGACCACACATAGAATTTAATAATTATAATTATTTCTATCATCTCTTCCTCAATCGCTTCCCCTGCATTTTAAGTAACAATTTACATATTATAGAAATATTTATTATTGAGTTTACCTCAATAAATTAATAATAAAAAGCACATAATAAATCACGAACATATCTTAGCGACAATATACTTAAATAGCATACAATATATTTTTAATAAAAGCTGATTTTAAAAGAAAAAATCAATATTTCGGAAGTTTTAAAGGAATCATATCAAGTGAAGCCTTAGGGTCTATATTAGTTACCGTGCCAAAGAGAGTTGTATAAGCTTGGTACTGCAAGATGTCTCACGGAGTGGTTCAGAAGAATGAGAAGAACGGCAACGGTGCGCAAGCGCTGGACTCGCCGCAGCACAGCACGGACAGCCCGCCGCCCCCGCCCGATGGGGGATGGGGATGGATGGTGGTCTTCGCGTCTTTCATGATCCACATTGTCAGTAAGTACATTGTTTATTACTTTTTTGTACTTAATTACACTTATTAGATGTTTAGTCTTACTTAACTAATCAATTGCTGTTAAAAGTCTTGAGAAATGAATTACAGATTAACTGGATCGTTGTGTGCTATATAGCACAGTGATATACATATATCAATGAAGTAATTTATTTTCTGATGGGCCTTAAATATTAATTGTGGGAAATGACGCTTGGACGTCAAGTAGTATACTATATTCTATTCTAATTGAATAAGTTCTTATTAAAAAAAAATCTGAGAATAATCCTCAACTAATCATTTAGATAACAAACAGATTAATAAACGCGTTTTCGTTATGAACTATAATCAATTCAGTGTAAGCAACTCTGGCCTGTGTTTATCAAAGTATTCATTGCCCTTTGATCCCCACACAACTAAACTAAGCCTTCATAGATACCTATTGTACAGCAATTAATAGTTCGCTTAATTAACTCTATGACTTAGAAACCTAGACAATATCCTATCTTAAATGTGTATGAATAAAGTGTTAATTCCGACTGTCAAAACTGTAAACTTCAGTAGGTATCATTCTAGTTCCTGTATGCTACGTAAATTGGTACTTAGACCCACGGTTTAGGTCCAAACGAAAACACCTTTCCGATAAATTTTTACAATTATACAGCATAAAGTTAATAATAGGTACTAACTACAGACAGATTTTACACTAGTAAAGAACATCTTGAGTTCTCCTTTATCTGTTTACCGGTGCTACAGTTACGCGAGCAAAACTAATAAGTACATACATGTTTTACTTTATTTGATTTCTATCGATTTCGTCTTTTTCACCTGATTTCCAAAACCACTGCTAACGAAATTAAACATTCAAAACTTTGTCTGAGTTACGCTTTTGTTTTAGAACAATAGTATTTATCGAATTAATTTATTTATATGAATCTGAAATCTACTTACAATATTTAAACAGCTGTGTAACACATTATTCATGTAGCGTCTACAACAAAATTAGAAGTAAATAAATATGTGGTAGTTTTTCTACCAAATATATTTTCATTATGGTATACAATTTTCACCGAATTTACAAACGTTGTCTCCATTCTACAGGCATTGAATTAAAATATGCCTGTGTAACACGTGTATTTATGTGACCAAACAGTATTTATTTAATATAAAAAAATAGGAAAGTTATTGTTGGATTGTGGATTGTGGCTGGTAGTGGTTGGATGCGTAGAGCTGAAGACCGAGCTCAGTGGCGTGCCATTGGAGAGGCTTATGTCCAGCAGTAGACGAAAACAGGCTGTTGATGATGATTGTTGGATTATTTGGTTCTCGATAATTCTCAGTAAAAGCGCGAGTCCGACAGTAGGGACGCTCGAGTTTCTCATTACACTGATTGAATGAGTGTTGCAATTCTGTCTTCGGGAATAACAACGTGTAATGTTATTACATTATGTTATCCCGTTAATCTATTCACCGTTCAATTTCCAGGTGAATCACTTCTCTGGCATGTTGGCACCTGCGTCTATTTACATTGCCGAATAGTCCACTGATATGTAGGTGACAGACATTCTGAATGCTTAAATACAACTGCATTCATTTTTTTTATTTTGCTGTATAATAAAATAATATTTAAATAAAACGAATCAAAGTTTAGGAGTGGGGGCTAAAACGTCATTTCTACGTATAAAATGTACATATAATTGACGTCAAGCAACATTTCAAATCAATATATCGTCGAAAGTATTCGTTTCTGTAAGAAAATAAAAAATACGTGTCTAATGATTTAAAATAATCGATCAGACGGACATTAAAATAAAAATTAGGTATCTACCCAATTGTAGGTAAATCTAAGTACCTAAGTACATAAATATACTATGACTGGATATATTAATAGATGACTTATCTATGCACAGAATCAATAGTATGAATACCTTGTGTTCATAAATAATGGTAATTGAGCGCCAGGTCAAGGATGCCATCCCTTGGTCGGACAAAGTATTGCATTTTTCACCATTGGAATTCTCATTAAAAAGTACGGTGCCGGGGAGAGTGTCCGACTCGCCCCTATTACGATGAACCCGGTACCCAAACATTACCGGCGTGGTGTAAAAATGGCAGGACTCTGTGAAATAACAGACATACTCTTGCCCATTTCTGGAATACAAAATAACAGTCATTAGACCCACCAACAGCTGCTGAAGAGCAATTCACGTGCCTCAAAAATGAACTCAATGACGACGCACCAACTTAAACCTTATACTGTAAACATTAAACATATTAATTGCGTTTGAAACAAAATGTTAATGTTGATACACAAATAAAGATTATATAGTACTTGTATCACTGTTTAATTTAACATCACTCAACTGTCTAGTGTTTACCAAACTATATGATAACAGCTTCTGTGATATGCTGCAAATATTTATGATTCTGATATAATTTGATGTCCCTGATTGCTGAGACTGCTTATCTCAAATTACAATAAAAATAAACTTAATTTTAGACTCATTAGTACTACTGTACCGAACCAAATTGCTGGCAAATTGGAGCAATCCTTTATAACTGGGGTCAAAGGTTTTGGTGTCAATTTTGGGTTATTGTAATAATATTTAACATAACATAATATAACATCATGCCTTTTATCCCCGAAGGGGTAGGCAGAGGTGAACATTACAGCACTTAATGCCACTGAACAAAGTAACATCCACTTTTCACTATTTATGTTATGAGTCCCATATAATAGGGGGTGAGCCTATTGCCATATACCGGGCACATTTGCAGACTCCGTGCTACTACTGAGGTTTTTAAAAACTCAGTAATTTTAATAATATTTGTAGGCACAAATAAGTATTTATACGGAGTTTTAACTTGATTTCATAATTTTAACTAGTAACCTAAGTTAAATCATCTTTTGTATCGCAATTTGCGTCTTAAAAGCGAACAAACTTAAATGTTTCTATTGTTCGTTGTGAGGTGTCGAATTTGTTGTCCAATCGTTATACGAGAAAGACAGATGAGATCGTGAATAATGTTTACCTATACCTACTTGCAGTCTTGCTAAAGTATACAGTAATTATGACTGTACAAATTTTTTTTGTCCCTATGGAGCTCTTTATATTTACCCCTATGTTCCCTCAATGTGTAAAAAGAATGTTAATGATCTCGTTCAACCTTAAGAGGATTTTAAAGCCCTCAATGACATGAAGTTGGTGGCATTTTGACATTTTGCAAGCCTATTGCTACACTAAATTAGACACTAGTTCGTTATTTTCTCCCGTCCGCAAAATGGTCTACCAACTGGTTAAACAGTCTTTATTCGTATTATGTACCCATAAGTTTTTGATAACTAAAGGCTTGTAAATCAAACCAAACAATCAAGCGCCATATACTCAGTACATGACACTCGATAAGATTCAGTAAATCTAAACCAAAAACGTCACAAACAAAGGTCATATATTTTTCCGAAAAACCAATTGTATCCGCCCACACGTCGACTTAACAGTCCCGTTAGAGTTGTCCTTTCTTTCCCGGTCCCGGGATTTATTCTGCGTGACGTGTCAACGTTCATATTTATAGTCCCGACACCTACTTCACGGTTCATCCCTTTGCAAATAAATAATAAGGCCGTGGCTATGAATGTGACTAACTCATTTACTCTAGTGCTCTCTAAGTCTAACTGATCTAGACTGACTTGTAAAGGGGACGTGAAACATTGCTGTTTAAATTCTCTCAAATAGTATTCTATTCAAATTCGTCTGTTTCCACTTACTCCCAAAGGTGTTCGTTTTATCTTAATTATTAATTCGCTCTTGAAGTCTCCGAATGTTTCGTTTTCAATTCGTCTTTTGTTCACTAATCCTTCGAATGTTTTATTCAATGATCGCTTTAAATGAAAAGTAACCATGAACAGTCAAAATTCATTTATTGTACGTTTATTTTAATTATACCTACATTTTATTTGTATCTAACAATAAAAAACTTATAATATTTTATTTAGTAATTTTGTTTGGCACACTCATTTTCTTACATAGGTAACATCAGCAAATAACATTGAATTGTTTACTAATTTCATGTATATTTCTCGCTAGGGCCATCATTTTCGTAATAAATATTTGAACAAAGGCACAATAAGAGTATTAATTTTGTCATGTTACAGTTTGACAATAAACAGTCGCTACTTGTTTAGGCTCTATTTAACAACGGCTCAGAGTACGTACGTATATAATTGTTTACAAAAGATACGTACATCATACATAGTATTATGTACATACAATTTTAATACACGTGTATCCTCCACCGCCTCATCAGACAAATAGTCACAATCACGGCTGTCGGGTAAAAGGGTCCAAAGATATATGTAGTCTAGAATTTAGTAACTATATTTAGAAATCTAGGTTAAAATCTGGTTTTTGAAATCCATAATAATGTAACGTAAATTATTATCACCTGTACGGCGTACGGTAATAGGTTCATCCTCTACCTATAAAATGGGTCTCATATTGGCGAAAATTAAGCATTCCATATTACACGACACGCTATAATTTTCTTCAACATAAGAAGAGAAAATGACGTGATTTCATATACTCATACACTAATACTATATCTCTCACATAGATAAGCATTCCTCAGGTTTCGGAAGCCACTCTTCAATGAATAAAGACTCGCGAATGATCCGAGTTTCGCATGACAACGACAATGATATGACACGGATTATGACGACACTTCCGGTCGTATGACAGATAATTTGAGCCATCAGGAGACGTAAATGAGGACCCCCCTTTATCTGAGTAGATCTGGCCATTTACAGTGGTATCTGGACAAAGGCAGACTAAAAGCCACAAGTACTAAGTTTGAGCACGCGATTCCTAGCACTAGATTAGTCTACTTAGGACAATGGATGTACGCAATTACTCTTCGCTAAAACAAAGAAGGAAAAAGCAGGATAATGTTTCTTTTAACACAACAGTATTAGTATCAATATACTCTGTCTATCTTTATAAAAATCTGT